GTTGTTGTTATATCATCAAATATTTAAGGGAGACACTATCTTTTGATACTTTAAAACTATGCTATTTTGGTTTGGTTCATTCAACTCTACAATATGGGTTAATATTTTGGGGTTTTTTACCATACTTTGAAAGAGCTTTTGTATCCCAAAAGAAGGTTCTGAGAGCCATGTATAAAGTGACACCAACAACATCATGTAAAGAACTTTTCAAGAAAACGCAAATTTTAACTCTACCTTCCCCTTTTATTTTTCAACTAATTTTATACATAAAAGATAATGAGTATATATTTAAGAAAAATAAAGACCTGCACTCATATGATACTAGATTAAAATTCAACATCCATTAACCTTTTTCACGACTACAAATAAGCCAGCATTCACCAAAAGGTATTGGGATTAAGTGTTACAATAAGTTATAATAAGTTAACAGGTTATAATCAAATTAGTCGTAATGATTTAAAAAAACATCTTAATGATTTTCTTTTAAATAATGTATTTTATGGTATAGAAGATTTTTTTGAACTTTTAAACTAATCTTAACATGAATTGTCTATTATATATATATATTTTATTTTTTAATGTATTTTTTTGACTAGTCTGATAGGATTTTACATTATGTAGGTACCTAGTGTCTTTGTATAGTGTATAATTCTCAAAGATGAATAAATTCTATATTATTTTACATTAACTATGGCTTAATTAAAAAATGGTATGAGACATGGGTAACATATGTTATTTTTGAAATCCTTTTTATAATATACCTACAGGGTATTCCGCATAGAAGAGAGATAATTAAGAGTTGCCGATTCTTTATAGAAATTTGGCAACATGTTTGCTTCCAGCAACATATGGCCTAGTTTTGTGCAACTAATACTCTGTCGGTAATGTAGAAAGCTGTAAGGCTATTTTAGTTTAAAAACTGGCGGGATTTTGAATTTATTTAGACACTATAATTAGATTAAAAAAAACCAAAAAAGGTTGACAGCTGTGTGCACGTAGTTTAGATTCAAAAGGAAAAACTTGTATTTCGTGCAAAACTTTTTTATTAATCAATGCAAAGCGCTTTCGGCTTATTTGCCATCATCAGTGCTCATTGTCCACAACGTATCCAACAAGTTCCTGGTCATCCTCACTCCCAAAATTATATATTTCGGGATATTTACAACTTGCTAAATCATAATTTTATTAATATTAATATTTTCAAATTTAAATTTCTCGTTTCCACATGACATGTGGAAACGGTTAAACAACTTGAACCAAAATGAAGAGAGAAATTTAAATTTGAAAATATTAATATTAATAAAATTATGATTTAGCAAGTTGTAAATATCCCGAAATATATAATTTTGGGAGTGAGGATGACCAGGAACTTGTTGGATACGTTGTGGACAATGAGCACTGATGATGGCAAATAAGCCGAAAGCGCTTTGCATTGATTAATAAAAAAGTTTTTCACGAAATACAAGTTTTTCCTTTTTGAAACTATAATTAGAATTTTGCATTTTCAAAAGCATTTTTTTAACACACATAAGATGCGTATGCTAATGAAAATGTAAAATTTTATGATAAATAAATTTAGAGGTATAAAATAAATAATACAAAATTTTAAATAATTGTATTAACTAAATATTATTTATAGAATCTTTGGTAACAATAATATACATTTTTTGAATAAACAAATTATTTAAATAATAAACACAAAACTAAACCAATTTTTTCCTTAATCATGTGAAATAAAACAAAAGATGCAATCCATACATCAGGGGAGTGTGGTTCCATAAACAAGAGTTGCATCCATCATACATTAGGGGAGTGTGGTTCCATTCATAAATTCTGAAACGAAACAAAAAAGGCTGATAACGAAAAACTTCTTGAAACACATGATTGTGGTTGTATGTCTCATTACTGTTACAGCTATTAAACTAATTTTTAAATTTACTTATAATTTCTATTAATGTCTATAGGTAATTAAGATTTTCTTGCTTTATGTAAAAAAATACCTCAGGTTAATCAAGATAAAAAAGCTTAGTTAATATAATTTAATTTTGCACATCTAGGATAATTATTTTCAAAATGAATACCATATCAGAATTAAAGCTTTGTTGAACATTTCAGTAGTTAGGGATAACACAATTACAATTCAGTTGACAATAAAACACAAATGTTCTAAAATAGTGTAAATGGGCCAGAACAATTTACTATTACAATCAGATATTATGCATTTATAACACATAGACATGTTTAAGTTAAAGTGACCGTCCGTCCCGATTTAGGCGGTATAGCCCCGGTTTTAAACCACTAGTCCCGATTTAATAAGCGTCCCAATTTTGTCCCGCTTTTGCCCGATTAAAACAATTTTATCCCGCTTTCGTCCGATTAAAAACGATTTTGTCCCGCTTTTAAGCCTTTATGGTGACGTTTTTTTTTTCTTCAATGAACCGTCACTACTGCAAAAAATATAATTCGTCAACGAAAAATCTCCAAATCTCAATGTTTTTGATTTGTCCTTCTTTTTACTTTTCAAAATATAATCACTTTAGTACTAAAATAAGTTTACTTAAAGTAAATTATTACTAAATTTATACCTAAAACTAAATTAAATAAAAATATGGTCACATCGACAGCCATATTGTTTGTTATTGTATTGTATCGTTCGACTATAAATACATAAAAAATTGTGAAACTATTACTTTTGACATGTTACTAACACATTTTTATTGAGATATTTTTTAATTATACAGGGTGGTCCACCGGTAACGCCTCGGTCTGTATATCCAAAACTAAACTTTTTTTAAAAAAATCTGTGTTTACGGTGAGATGTATATTAGAAAAGGCAACAATTTAAAATAATTTCAATAATACAGGGTGCTCCAGGAAATTGGAATATATCAAAGTTAGGTTTTTTAATCGGGACACCCTATATTTTATTGAATTTTTGAAATCTATAAAGAAAATTAGTGTAACTTTGTTAAGGGGTTGTTATACCTAGAGCCTATCATTTTTGATATATTCGAGGATTTTCAAAATTTTCGGGTGTTTAAAAAATGCAAATATATCCTACATCTCTTAATATTTCAAATTGATTTTTTTAAGGTACATTAAGCGTATTCTGGGCTGTAACCTTAAATACTTACTGATCAAAAATATTATATAGGGTGTTTACGAAATACTATTTATTATACGTAGATTTAAACACTAAAAACTTCGTTATTTTAAATAGAACACCAAATATATTTTAACGTTATTTGAAGTATCTTTCGAAACCCTTTCAAACGATGTAGGTATTCCCTATACCTATCTGTAATAGTTTTACTAACATTGTTACATTTTTTTTTTGAAACACGAATTACAAAATAATACAAGATAATAAATTAATTTAATAGATGTTCAAAATGATGACCGTCTTCTTGAATACACATTGTGATCCTTCGTTCAAACGAATTTCTTACTCTTTTTAGCATATCCGGCGTAATAGTTGCAAATGCATTCTTAATTCGTTCCTTCATATCTTCTGGCATATTATATAGTTTATTTTATTTTTTAAATATAATTGTGTTATTGTAAAACGGACCTGCGCAAGTTTCGTAAACTTGTTGACACAATGCGCATTTCTTATAAACCACCCTGGTATATTCCATTCAGATAATTAATATTTTTTGTAGTATTCCGTGAAATCGGCATGCCACTGTCTTTTTGATGACAGTTTAAAACAATTCAGTACATAACTTTCATTCAAGACTTTTTTTATATTTGATATTAACGATGATAAAGGGTGGATAATTTATAATGAATACAACACTTATAGTTCGAAATTAGATTTTGATTATTCGTTTTACGTTGTAAGTAAAGTATTAATTTTATAACTCATATATTAATCGTGAATTGAACCGCGCCGCGAAATGCAAATTTGACTGCATGTTCAATGCTTAACAAACTGTGCTAATTAGTCATGTCTTATCAAATATGTGTATTGTAAATTTTTTATCTGGTATTTTTTTTTACAACTTTGCTGGCTTTTAGTCTATATACTTTCCCAACTGGTTGCAGGAAAGTAAAAATTAAGCTTGGTATACAAATAATTTTTTTCTTAAACGACTTCGCCAACTTAAGTAAAACTAATTTTATTTTCCAAAACTATTTTAAAACTCGCATTTTTAAATTAATATATAGTTAGATAACTTAATTTTCCATTTCCACGAAAATAAATACGCTGCGAACGAACCACAACTACTCAAATTAGCAAGAAAAATGTTGCTTTAAAAGCTCTTCATAACATTAACCACCCATTTTAGAATAAAAAAACAAATACTCTTCAACCAAACCATTATATCGAATTTCAGTATACTTGTCGGAATACCGAGACTATTTAAAGAAAATTCTTGAGGAAAACTGAATAGCCCTTTTCGATTTAATAAGCCGTCTCATAATTTGAGAGGTTTTCAATATAAAAACGTCTTTAAAATAGTTGCTTCATAGGCTGAACATCACTTTCCGGGACGTTGATTTGCTGTTTTGAAATTTGATAAAGATTATAGATTAAGGTATAATGTTGATAGAGTCAAAAATAATAACGATTTTATACAAAAGCTTATGATGATCTTTATTAGTGGAAATTCATTTATCTATAAAAATTACAATGAATTGCAAAGTATTACAAAGAATTGCAAAAAATTGCAAAGAAGTGCAAAGAATTGCAAAGAAATGCAAAGAATTGCAAAGAACTGCAAAGAATTGAAAGAATTGCAAAAAATGGCAAAAAATTGCAAAAAATTGCAAAAAATTGCAAAAAATTGCAAAAAATTGCACAAAATTGCAAAGAATTGCAAAGAATTGCAAAGAATTGCAAAAAATTGCAAAAAATTGCAAAGAATTGCAAAGAATTGCAAATAATTGCAAATAATTGCAAAGAATTGCAAAGAATTGCAAAGAATTGCAAATAATTGCAAAGAATTGCAAATAATTGCAAAGAATTGCAAAGAATTGCAAAGAATTGCAAAGAAATGCAAAGAAATGCAAAGAAATGCAAAGAATTGCAAAGAATTGCAAAGAATTGCAAAGAATTGCAAAGAATTGCAAAGAATTGCAAAGAATTGCAAAGAATTGCAAAGAATTGCAAAGAATTGCAAAGAATTGCAAAGAATTGCAAAGAATTGCAAAGAATTGCAAAGAATTGCAAAGAATTGCAAAGAATTGCAAAGAATTGCAAAGAATTGCAAAGAATTGCAAAGAATTGCAAAGAATTGCAAAGAATTGCAAAGAATTGCAAAGAATTGCAAAGAATTGCAAAGAATTGCAAAGAATTGCAAAGAATTGCAAAGCATTGCAAAGAATTGCAAAGAATTGCAAAGAATTGCAAAGAATTGCAAAGAATTGCAAAGAATTGCAAAGAATTGCAAAGAATTGCAAAGAATTGCAAAGAATTGCAAAGAATTGCAAAGAATTGCAAAGAATTGCAAAGAATTGCAAAGAATTGCAAAGAATTGCAAAGAATTGCAAAGAATTGCAAAGAATTGCAAAGAATTGCAAAGAATTGCAAAGAATTGCAAAGAATTGCAAAGAATTGCAAAGAATTGCAAAGAATTGCAAAGAATTGCAAAGAATTGCAAAGAATTGCAAAGAATTGCAAAGAATTGCAAAGAATTGCAAAGAATTGCAAAGAATTGCAAAGAATTGCAAAGAATTGCAAAGAATTGCAAAGAATTGCAAAGAATTGCAAAGAATTGCAAAGAATTGCAAAGAATTGCAAAGAATTGCAAAGAATTGCAAAGAATTGCAAAGAATTGCAAAGAATTGCAAAGAATTGCAAAGAATTGCAAAGAATTGCAAAGAATTGCAAAGAATTGCAAAGAATTGCAAAGAATTGCAAAGAATTGCAAAGAATTGCAAAGAATTGCAAAGAATTGCAAAGAATTGCAAAGAATTGCAAAGAATTGCAAAGAATTGCAAAGAATTGCAAAGAATTGCAAAGAATTGCAAAGAATTGCAAAGAATTGCAAAGAATTGCAAAGAATTGCAAAGAATTGCAAAGAATTGCAAAGAATTGCAAAGAATTGCAAAGAATTGCAAAGAATTGCAAAGAATTGCAAAGAATTGCAAAGAATTGCAAAGAATTGCAAAGAATTGCAAAGAATTGCAAAGAATTGCAAAGAATTGCAAAGAATTGCAAAGAATTGCAAAGAATTGCAAAGAATTGCAAAGAATTGCAAAGAATTGCAAAGAATTGCAAAGAATTGCAAAGAATTGCAAAGAATTGCAAAGAATTGCAAAGAATTGCAAATAATTGCAAAGAATTGCAAAGAATTGCAAAGAATTGCAAAGAATTGCAAAGAATTGCAAAGAATTGCAAAGAATTGCAAAGAATTGCAAAGAATTGCAAAGAATTGCAAAGAATTGCAAAGAATTGCAAAGAATTGCAAAGAATTGCAAAGAATTGCAAAGAATTGCAAAGAATTGCAAAGAATTGCAAAGAATTGCAAAGAATTGCAAAGAATTGCAAAGCATTGCAAAGAATTGCAAAGAATTGCAAAGAATTGCAAAGAATTGCAAAGAATTGCAAAGAATTGCAAAGAATTGCAAAGAATTGCAAAGAATTGCAAAGAATTGCAAAGAATTGCAAAGAATTGCAAAGAATTGCAAAGAATTGCAAAGAATTGCAAAGAATTGCAAAGAATTGCAAAGAATTGCAAAAAATTGCAAAGAATTGCAAAGAATTGCAAAGAATTGCAAAGAATTGCAAAGAATTGCAAAGAATTGCAAAGAATTGCAAAGAATTGCAAAGAATTGCAAAGAATTGCAAAGAATTGCAAAGAATTGCAAAGAATTGCAAAGAATTGCAAAGAATTGCAAAGAATTGCAAAGAATTGCAAAGAATTGCAAAGAATTGCAAAGAATTGCAAAGAATTGCAAAGAATTGCAAAGAATTGCAAAGAATTGCAAAGAATTGCAAAGAATTGCAAAGAATTGCAAAGAATTGCAAAGAATTGCAAAGAATTGCAAAGAATTGCAAAGAATTGCAAAGAATTGCAAAGAATTGCAAAGAATTGCAAAGAATTGCAAAGAATTGCAAAGAATTGCAAAGAATTGCAAAGAATTGCAAAGAATTGCAAAGAATTGCAAAGAATTGCAAAGAATTGCAAAGAATTGCAAAGAATTGCAAAGAATTGCAAAGAATTGCAAAGAATTGCAAAGAATTGCAAAGAATTGCAAAGAAATGCAAAGAATTGCAAAGAATTGCAAAGAATTGCAAGGAATTGCAAAGAATTCTAAAGAATTGCAAATAATTGCAAATAATTGCAAATAATTGCAAATAATTGCAAATAATTGCAAATAATTGCAAAGAATTGCAAATAATTGCAAATAATTGCAAAGAATTGAAAATAATTGCAATTAATTGCAAATAATTGTAAATAATTGCAAATAATTGCAAATAATTGCAAATAATTGCAAATAATTGCAAATATTTGCAAATAATTGCAAATAATTGCAAATAATTGCAAATAATTGCAAATAATTGCAAATAATTGCAAATAATTGCAAATAATTGCAAATAATTGCAAATAATTGCAAATAATTGCAAATAATTGCAAATAATTGCAAATAATTGCAAATAATTGCAAATAATTGCAAATAATTGCAAATAATTGCAAATAATTGCAAATAATTGCAAATAATTGCAAATAATTGCAAATAATTGCAAATAATTGCAAATAATTGCAAATAGTTGCAAATAATTGCAAATAATTGCAAATAATTGCAAATAATTGCAAATAATTGCAAATAATTGCAAATAATTGCAAATAATTGCAAATAATTGCAAATAATTGCAAATAATTGCAAATAATTGCAAATAATTGCAAATAATTGCAAATAATTGCAAATAATTGCAAATAATTGCAAATAATTGCAAATAATTGCAAATAATTGCAAATAATTGCAAATAATTGCAAATAATTGCAAATAATTGCAAATAATTGCAAATAATTGCAAATAATTGCAAATAATTGAAAGAATCGCAAAGAATCGCAAAGAATCGCAAAGAATCGCAAAGAATCGCAAAGAATCGCAAAGAATCGCAAAGAATCGCAAAGAATCGCAAAGAATCGCAAAGAATCGCAAAGAATCGCAAAGAATCGCAAAGAATCGCAAAGAATCGCAAAGAATCGCAAAGAATCGCAAAGAATCGCAAAGAATCGCAAAGAATCGCAAAGAATCGCAAAGAATCGCAAATAATCGCAAATAATCGCAAATAATCGCAAATAATCGCAAATAATCGCAAAGAATCGCAAAGAATCGCAAAGAATCGAAAAGAATCGAAAAGAATCGAAAATAATCGAAAAGAATTGAAAAGAATTGCAAAGAATCGCAAAGAATTTCAAATAATTGCAACTTTTCGAATAAGGTATTTTTCTTTATGAATAAGGTATTTTTCTTTCCGAATAAGGTATTTTTCTATCTGAATAATATATATTTTTTATTGAAGGATTCAACTATGCAATTGCAGTTTTCCCCATGATTCTCATTTCAATATTAAATATAAGTAAGCTTAATATAAATATCTGCAACGAAACCCTGCTATTTCTCTAATTTGAATCCAACAAGCAGTAATTCAATGTAGGAATAGAGCAAAAACAGCGTGTAATGTCTGTATAGCGTCTATACGGATAAAATCACTTTTATTTATACCGAAGCGAATGGCATTGTTAAGAAAGCAAACGCAAAACGAAATAGGTACAAAACCGAGTACAAAACCAAACAAACGTTCGACAAGTCATACAAGTTCACTTTCGTGAGATGCAGTGAACGCGATAAATGAAAATACATTCGATTTTTTTTAACTCCAATTCTAACTTTGATCTTTTTGTAGTTGGTTATAGTTGGCGTGGATTAGTTTATGCTCGAGTTTGTTTATTGATAAAACATCGACAAATTGTATAATAATTTCTAGATTGCTTTGAATGTTTGGTAGTTCCTGAAAATAATGCTTTTTTTTCTCTCACATACGAATAGATGTGTATTGAAAGAAAAAATCAATGGATATATCGCAAAAAATATATTTTTATCTATTTTCAAAAGACTCTGTACACGTTTACTCACTTATTGAGTGTACCTTTATTCATTGAATTTCCCATAATTTGAAACTTTATATTTTTGATGAATAAATTATTTTATTATATTATTTGTACACAATAAAATTAGTATTATTATCATTAATCTTAATATTGTGATATGGAAAATGAGGGACAAAAATTAAATGATTTTTGTCAAAAAATTGTTAAAATTATAACATTTATCAAATCAGAAAATTTAAAAAAATTAAACAGGCTATCCTGGAAAGTTCGGAATTGGAAGAATATGAATATTTTAATAATATTAGAAGTTATGAATTGTATGGAATTGGAATCATTTAGATGAATATATTCTAACAAAAAGTAATCTAAATTCATTTTAATGAAAAGAAATAGCTTGCCACAACAGAGCAGGGATTGTAGACAGCAGAGTAGGCAGAGAACAACAAAGTAAGGATGCGTCAGAAAATAGAAGGTGTAGAATAAACTGAGTTAGTAACAGTGTAGGGAAACAAAAACGGAGCAAAACAGCAGAGTCCCTAGAAAAATTAATTAAGTCAAGAAGGGAAAACGCACACATTTTTTTAGGAACCGAACCAAACGCATTGAGATTTTTTGACTGATTGAAAATTTCATAATCTTAATTAATTGTTTTATTTGCATCGTATATGTTTTTGTCCTAAGTATTCCTTCGCTGTTCACCTGGTGACAGCCTCCGCCTCTGACTCTGTGACGGAATGATTAACACCCATATAAAACTCCCAATATTTTGATTCTTGCGGTAGTATAACCATCTACCTCCTTCCTTCACATACAATATCCGGATCTTCCATTCTCTCCATTAAGTCCCATTTCTTGTCATTAAATCGAACAAGGCCCCATAAACCGATATCCAGAAGCGGAACTACATTCCATCCATTTGGATTTTCCTAAATAATTGAATAGAATCGAGTGCTCGGCGCGTTTCGGGCCTAGAGGGGCATACCCGGTGGGCGGTGGGGGGGCTAATCTTAGCCTCATGAATACAAATATTCGAATTAGTATTCGACTTAAATTCACGTATATAAATTCATATCCGGTAAACCGGTAGGCGATTCGGAAGTGCCCGGAGGCAATAGCCGGTCACTAAACCGAACTGTGGCCAGTGGCGGGGCACAGGCCCGAATACAAATTATAAACATAAATTATTTAAACATACTAGGTCAGTGATTCTGAAACTGATGGGATCAACTTTTTATATACAAATTTGAATCCAATGAAAGCTGTTTACTGTAACAAAAATCTCTAGTAAAATTTCTTAAAATTAGACTTACATATGTACCTACTTGGCCAGTATCACGTTTTTTATTTATTAAAAGTACTGGATTAATTAATAATATATACGTAAAAATGTAATTACAGATAATATAGTTTTGCATGTTCTAAATTATTACTAAATATTTATTTTTAGGAAAATAGCCTGGAAAAACTATAGAAAAGAGTTGCCTACATTTAACCATTTTTGGAAAAGTTTTATATTTAAATTCTGATACAAACTTAGTGCCATATTGAGATTCTGTAAGTAGTAATTAAAATGTCCGACAGAAAATATTTCAGTGCATCTTATTATGCACTATTATCAGACACTCTTATCATAAAAACTATTTTATTTTGTCTCTTAATCAATATTGGTAACAAAGGCCGAGTTTTAAGAGAATAACAAAACTTAATGAACGCAAGAAGAGGACAACTAATTTTTTTTCTACATTTAAAGTTGCAAAAAGGAACAATATTTTTGAAGTAGAAGAATGAATGTACTAACTCAAATTAGAAACTTTGTTAGCATAAATCACAATTTAAGTCATCTGTGCTTTCTTCAACTCCCACACACACTGCTCATGTTCCTATTTTAAACAACTTTGGCACCGAACCCAACCTTCATTTGGTTTAAGTGAGGTAACTCTCACTACAGTACACACACAGCTCTTTATTACTTTTGTCATCCCCTGAATAGGTGGATTCGGATGTCTGGTCGCTGGCAAAGGCTTTTGTTTTATGGTTCTTATTTCTGATTTTTAAAAATAATTTAACAGTTTGCTTTTTCCATAGCTGATTGACCTCTTTTTGGCACTTTTAGTTGACGTTTGCTCTCTACTAGGTGTCTTCCTCTTTTTTCCTAAAGATCTTTGTAAGGTGTACTAGTAATCTCCACTGAAACAGCACTTGTTTTTTCTGCCGCTTTTGAACAACCTTGCTTGTCCCAGAGACATGTGCAAATTCATTTAGGTTTTGTCTCAGTGTCTCTGGGGTAATTTCTCCCAGTACCATGTTGGGTTGGCTAGCAACTCCTTGGAGAGGTTGATATCTCATTGAAAGGTGCAGCTTGAACAAGGTTAATAAGGCGAAATAAAACCTACAGCACGTTCGAGGTTACTGGGTCCTGACAGGTTAACACCATCTTCTTTACTTTCATCTAGCTGTTCTACAGCAGTAGAGGGAGAAAATAGTTGCTAAGCGAATCTATTTCAATTGAGGGGTAATATTTTCATCCCCCTACAGTGGCGACCTTCCCATAAGACCTACCTAACAACTCACTAACATTGTAGACTGATATCGGCTATCCTATGTGAGCTCACAGCCATGAATCTTGTTCCTGAATATAATAATTTTGCACGGGCTTAAAAAATCCCACGCTGAGCAGTTGTGACTAATGCGTTGTATGGCTAGGTAATTTTAAATGATGGAATATAGTTTTAACTCTAGAGCCTCCAGATTCTTGCTATGCGTTAAATGTTCATCTAGTAAAATAATGACAGGGTGGTCTTACTTGATTGGAAAATATTTAAGCCATTTGATAAAGAGACCGCTATTGATATAGGCAGTATCTGAAGTTTCAGTAACACTTCCTGTTGGAGCACCTCGTTCAAGTTGCGGTGCATAGCGCTTCCATTTAAATATGAGAGTGGATAGAATGTAATGTCTTGCAGCATTTAACAACAAACCATAGTGGTGCTGTCGCCTCTTTCTCCACTGGCGAATCCATTAACTTGCCGTTTTGCTTTTTGCGATACAACCTTTTGCATTTTCTTTTGGACGGTTATGAAGTCGGATTCATCAACATTGAATATTGCATTTACCATAATTTTATATTTTTCAACAAGTATTTCTAGATTATCAGAAAACTTTCTTTCTCTGAAAATATCGAGAGTGGGTCCGATTGGCGAACTGCTAGTTCT